GGAGAGAGGAGGAGGAGGAGGAGGAGGAGGAGGAGGAGCAGGAGAAGGAGAAGGAGGAGGAGGAAGAGGAGAAGGAGGAGGAGGAAGAGACGGTGGCATTATATGGAAAGCAGCGCTGCTCGGCAGAGACGTAACGAGTTGTCTTTCGTCGTGCGGGTCGTTTTCTCGACTCCCACCTCCCCCACCCCCACGCCCCACCCCGATTCTTCCCTAGATCGGTCAAGTGTGGTGGCTGTAGAAATCAGATTGGACGAGCACAGCTCTAATCACCATTAAGCACAGACGAGCCAATCAGTGAAAAACACTGGAAGCTAAGCACGCGCTTTAGACGATTCTTATTAGTGTTTTTTTATAGTAGTAGTCTGTTATTATTCCTCTGGCAAAGCAACAACAAAAAATGTTAGTCGCGTCGGGTATGCGATTGATTCGACTTACTGACGTTTCAGGAAACCTGAGATATACCAACTAGGATTCGCTGTCGCTGCAAAAGAACCGTCGAACGCATAAAGGAGGCTTGTTTAAGCATGCAGTCAGTTTCGTTCGAAATCGATGAATATATTACTATTAAGAACACAGATGCGATCGCGTTTCGATGGGAAAGCAAACAAGCAGACACCGAGTGCATTGCCACTCTGGCCCCCACTACGTACCTCTATTGCTTTCTTGAACCAAATCTCCGCATTTCTGAAGTCTTTGTCGTCCATACCGAGAATACCGAGGTTAAAATATATTTTCTCGTTGCTTGGTTCCAACTCCAAGAGGCGGAACAGCCTGAAAGAGTAGAGTGAATGCACGCTTAATGCGATTACTACTACGTTTGCGACTCGCTTAAAGTTGTATTACCAGCACATCAAACGGCCAACGAAAAGCACGGGTGATCACGGTATATCTGCTCTGCCCCGAGTCCCGTAACAGCAAATAAAAAAAATGAAGCACTTTCCCGAGGAAGAAATCCTGTCCTCTACATGTCATCACGCTCCATCAGCACCCTAGACTGATTCCACGTCGACGCGGAGCAATTAGGCGAGCACAGACCGAACGGATCTCGGGGGCAGTCTACGCGGCCATTTGAAACGGGTGACCCAACAGCAGATCCGTGAGGACAAATGTACAGGAAAGATTGCGCGATTTATTTCCGTGCTTTGCTGGCCTCGGCGCAGGACTTTGCGTCGAGGCAAGTCGTGCTCACAATGCGTATATGGTGGGCTTGCGACTGATGGCCGTGGTAACGCACATTTAAGTCTCCGAGCTTCCGAAGAATTAGGAATATTGGTGGTGCCTGATCGGCTCTGACATCCTTAGTACAACACTAACGACAGTCTAGCCTACAGTTAATACCATAAGCGATCGCCCTATCAAGAAAAAAACACACCCAGAGCGTCCAACCCGCCCCACCCCCGGACCATCACTTGTGGTCTATGCCTACCCTTACCGTCCTACACGACAAACACCCACAACCCACCAGATTTTGGTGGTCCCCCCTTGGATTACACCCACCCCTACTATCATGCATGACCAACACCCACTTCGAATGTCCCGCGCTCCACCCGACCCCTCACTGTCTGCTTGTCCCAACCCCTACCGTCCAGCACGCCCCACCTCACCTCTTCCAGTCACGTGGGGCGCATCGCCCCATCGTCCCTGTGCTCCCCACACCCACCTCAACCCCTATAACCTGTGCATCCCACACAAACCCCACTTCCACTAATCCAGTCTGATCCATATAACCACCCATACACCCATCATCCCGTGCAACCGGCCCACCCCATAATCCCAAGGATCCCATATATACCCATCCCACTCCCCATAATCCCAGGCGTCACACAAACCCACCCCACCCGCTCGTCACGTGCGATCCCCACCCACCCCACCCCATTGCCCGGTGTGACCCATCCTACCCCACGTCCCATGTGGCTCTGTCACCCCCGTCCCCCATGCGCCCCCCCCCACCCGCCCCTCCCCACTCCACCCCACCCATCCATAACCCTGTGCACACACCCCACACTCACCTCTGGTAGGCTAGCGGCCGCAGCTGCTGGTTGCCAGATTCCTGTATGAGCCCTATACCCACACACACCCCACCCACCCGTCACACCGTACCCACCACACTCACCCCACCCATCCATAGCCACGTACCCACCACACTCACCCCACCCCACCCATCCATAGCCACGTACCCACCACACTCACCCCACCCCACCCATCCATAACCACGTACCCACCACACTCACCCCACCCCACCCATCCATAACGTACCCACCACACTCACCCCACCCTACCCCACCCATCCATAACTCTGCGCGCTCCCCACACACGCACCTCTGGTAGGCTAGCGGCCGCAGCTGCTGATTGCCAGACTCCTGTATGAGCACGGCAGAGTTCATGAGCGACTGCCGATGGTCCGGGTCGAACTGCAGAGCCTTCTCAAAGTAGTCGAGCGCCTCGTCGTGTCTCTTCAGCTCCACGAGAACCACCGCCAGCTGCAACGACACGGGAGAGGAAGCCGCGCTCAGAAAGGTGAAGGTCAACGATGCCCTGCTCAAAAAGATGAGGCCAATGAAGCCCCACTCAGAGAGCTAAAGCGCCCCCCTAACAAAGCTAGAGACTAACAAAGACCCTGTGCACAAGACTGATGCCTAACAATGCCCCGCTCAGAAAGGTGAAGCGCTTAACGATGCCCCGCCCCTCAGAAAGGTGTGTGCCTTAATCGATGCCGCTCAGAAAGGTGAGCTTAACGATGCCCCGCTCAGAAAGGTGAAGCTTAACGATGCCCCGCTTCAGAAAGATGAAGCTTACGATGCCCGCCTCAGAAAGGTGAGACTAACGCATGCCCCGACTCAGAAAGGTGCGAAGCTTAACGATGCCCGCTCAGCAAGAAAGGTGAAGGCTTAACGATGCCCCGCCCTCACGCAGAAAGGTGAAGCTTACGATTGCCCCGCCTCAGCAGATAAGGTGAAGCTTAACGCGAATGCCCACTCAGAGAAAGATGAAAAGCTTAACGATGGCCCCGCGGGCAGAATGCGTAAAGCTTAACGATGCCCCGCTCAGAAAAGAGTGAGGCTTACGATTGCCGCCGGTGAAGAGCGCGAAGGGCGGCGGGATGACGAGGAACCAGGCATCAGAAAGATGCAAGCTACGATGCCCCGCCAGAAAGGTAAAGCCTTAACGATGCCCCGCTCAGAAACGTTGAAGCTTAACGATGCCCGCTCAGAAAGGTGAAGTCTTAACGATGCCCCCTCAGAAGGTGAAGCTTAACGCGAATGCCCGCCTCAGAAAGGTAAGCTTAACAATTGGCCCCGCTCAGAAAGGTGAAGCTTTAACGATGCCCCGCTCATGGAAGCGTGATGAAGCTTAACAATGCCCCGCCTCAGAAAGAGCTGAAGCTGTAACAATCCCCCCGCTCAGAAAGGTGAAGCTTAACGATGCCCCGCTCAGAAAGGTGAAGCTTAACGATGCCCCGCTCAGAAAGGTGAAGCTTAACGATGCCCCGCTCAGAAAGATAGAAGCCTTTAACGAGCCCCGCCTCACGAAAGCGTGAAAGCTTAACCAATTGCCCCGCCTCAGATAAGGTGCAAGGCCTTTAACGATGCCCCACTCAGAAAGGTGCAGGCTGAACGAATGCCCCGCTACAGAAAGGTGAAGCTTAACGATGCCGCTCAGAAAGGTCGAAGCTACGAGGCCCCGCTCAGGAAAGCGTTGAGGCCTTAACGATTGCCCCGCTCAGAAAGGGGAAGTTAACGATGCGTCGCCGGCTCAGAAAAAAATGAGCTGTAACGATGCCCCGCTCAGAAAGGTGAAGCTTACACGTGCTCCCCGCTCAGAAAAGTAAGCTTAACGCATTGCCCCGCTCAGAAAGGTGAAGCCTTAAACAATGGCCCGCTCAGAGAAGGTGAAGCTTAACGATTGCCCGCGTCAGCAGAAAGTGAGCTTAACGATGCCCGCTCAGAAAGGTGAAGCTTAGACGATGCCCCGCTCAGAAAGTGAAGCTTAACGATGCCCGCTCAAGAAAGGTGAAGGCTTAACGATGCGCTCAGCAGAAAGGCTGCAAGACTTTAACGATGCCCCGCTCAGAAAGGTGAAGCTTAACGATGCCCCGCTCAGCAGAAAGGTGAAGCTTAACGATGCCCCGCTCAGAAAGGTGAAGCTTAACGATGCCCCGCTCACAGAGCTAAAGTTCTGCCTACATAGCAGAAGTCCCTCCCACAATGCTGATGCTCCGCCCACAAAGCTAAAGCCCAAAGAAGCCCCACCCACAAAATTAAAGCCCCGCCCGCAAGAGTGAAGCCCCACCCACAAAGCTAAACTCCTGCTCACAAAGCTAAAGCCCCGCCCATAAAATTGAAGCCCAACGAAGTGCTGCTCACAGAACTGATGAAGACCGAGCGAGCTGCTAACTCGGCGACGCTTCGAGGAAAACAGGAGTGCCGAGAAAACAGGAGAGCTACGGGCCGCAGCCTGTAAACACGTTATCGCGTTAGTCGGCCGAAAACCAGATTAAGCGCGCTCGTGATTGCCGCAAACCTGCGCACAATTAGGCGACTTTCGCGCGCGCGCTGTCAAGGCGAATATGGGGGAGCCGCGGTGACGGGGCTGGGGAAATCTCGCCAAAAAAATTCCCCATCGCTCCCGTATTCGATTTGGGCCCGCCGCCCGCAAATCGAGTAAAGGGGGCCGACGATTGTGGTTTTACAGCATTTTCTTCGCAAATGCTGTTTGTAAATTTGCGGATAACGAGTACTTACCCCCCAGACGTAAGTGACGAGGGGGGATAGAGAGGCTCAGCCAGTGTTATTTCCACGAGCGCCTCTCCATGGCCTGACGTCCGCTACGGGATTTTACCGAGTGCACGGCGCGACGTGACCGGCATTGATCGTCGTGGACCCCACTCTACCACGCCATAATACCCACTTCACTCTGCGCCGGATCGTTACATGGTTACGGGCATCCAGACAACACTAGCACAGTTGTCTAGTCTCCAGGTACGCTATTATATGTTCGCGAACAGCTTGTTATATCTCGAGCGGGATAATAACGCGCGGGTGGCAATGACAGGTGTCATCACGACGAGCTAGCGAGAGAGAAAGACAGAGAGAGATAGAGAGAAAGGGAGAGAGAGAGAGAGAGAGAGAGAGAGAGAGAGAGAGAGAGAGAGAGAGAGAGAGACAGCCCCGGGCGACTGCCCCGTTCACTCACTCACTCACTCACTCACTCACTCACTCACTCACTCACTACAACCGACCGCGCCGAGCAAATGACGACCACCACCACCACCGCCACACAGCCTTTGAAGTCGTCGACAGTTTATACATTAGCACGCGCCGCCGACGTCGCCGCAGTCACGCGAGTTTCATGGCTATTGCTTTAACTCAGAGCGCACGCGGTCGGCATTCAATTAACGCAATCGCGAATATTAACCACTGCAAACTGTCCGTCATGTACAGTATTATTGTTAGTCGATGGGCGCGCACTCAACCGTATCAAAGTCTGCACGCGAAATTTGTGTGCGCGTGCGCGCGCGCGTGTGTGCGTGTGTGCGTGTGTGTAATCTGCAAAATGCACGCTGGTTTTTAATTATTTTTCACGACTGATGCCCGAGCGGCGATTTGCAGACCGCACGTTATTTACCGTGTGGCTATATAGTAACTGAGTAACAGCTACGAGTCAGCCTCGGCGCAGCAGCGAGCCAACGAGCGCACAGCACGCGAACACTCGGGAGTCTCGTTTCCCCCCCCCGTTCCTAACCAGACACGATTCAGCATGGAGACGAGATGACAGAGGAATTAATTTTCGACCGCCGTGATCCCCCCTTTCGCAGCCACTTGGGACGCGATCACCTGCCCGAGACTCGAATCCTCTCCTTTCCTCCGACCAACGCACGACCCCTTCCCTTTCTCTAACCAACACACGACCCCCTCCCCCTTCCTCCAACCAAGACAGAACCCCTCCCCCGCCAGCCAAAACGCGTACCCCCCCTGTTTTCTCCGACCGAGACACCCCCCCCTTCTTCTGTCCGAGACGGGATCCTTCCCTCTCACAAGCCAAAACGCGACCCTCTCCACTCCACCGCGTGTATTCGATTAGTTATATTGCGGCATCGCATTAAAGGTCTATAACCAATAGTCATCAGTGCAATTACTGTATTGCCTCGCTGCGGACAAAAAGCCCGCGCTGCCACGAATTAACCAAAACGCCACCCTCTCCCCTCCACCGCCTGAGACGCGACCCCCCCCCGAGACACGACCCCTCCCCTCCCCCTC